ACTCCCCCAAACCCCCAAACCCGAAACCCTGAACCCTAAACCCTAAACCCCAAACCCTAAGCCCTAAACCCTAAACCCTAAACCCTAAACCCTAAACCCTAAACCTAAACCCTAAACCCTAAACCCTAAACTCCCTCCTGCCAGCGCGCGAAGCACCCAGAGCCCTTCCACTAGGAGCCGCTGCCTGCATCACTCGCAAAGGCTCCTCGTGGGAGGCAGGGTTTAGGGTTCAGGGTTTAGGGTTTAGGGTTTAGGGTTTAGGGTTTAGGGCTTTGGGTTTAGGGCACCCCAGATCTGGAAGCTGATGAGCCTGAACCTTCTGGCTTTCGGGTGTAGGGATTTGAGTGTCACAATAGAAGCATAAAGAACACAAGGAGAAAAGCAATCATATACGATGTACTATTATAATTCTAATATTGTATATGAAGTCGCAAAAGAGAATATGATGAGGTTTGGGAGCCATAAGCCCTGGACCCTCAATTCCCAAACCATCAGCCTAGACCCGCCCTGAAGCGCCGGGGTCCTTGTGTTGATGTGGACATGGGTTTAGGGTTTAGGGTAAGAAGCCCTAAACCCCAAACCTAAACCCAACCCTAAACAGATTTGAGGCTCTTGGTATAAACCTTAAACCAGCGTTTCGCGCGAGGTTCGGTGGTGCACTCCCTCGCATCGAAGAAGGCTGGCGTGGCCTGAGCCCCTAAACCCCTACACCCCCCAAACCCTAACCCTAAACCCTAAACCCTAAACCCTAAACCCTAAACCCTAAACCCTACACCCTAAAACCCCCCTAGACCCCCCCAAGAGCCCCCAAACCCCCCCCCCGAAAGCCCCTAAACCCCAGGCTCCTCCAGCTCAAACCGCCCCCAAAAGCCCCACTCCCGAAGGGTTCAGGGTTTAGGGTTTAGGGTTTAGGGTTTAGGGTTTAGGGTTTAGGGTTTAGGGTTTAGGGTTTAGGGTTTAGGGTTTAGGGACCTCGGCAGGTCGGCGAGACTTTGCCCGAATCTTCTTTGCAGACCAGAGGAAGGCCGTTTTCCTTCTGGGCTCGGAGGGACGTGATGCTTGAGCCTTCGAACTCTTCGAGCCCTGAGCTCTAAGCCCGAGACCCTAAACAAACAGTTCAAAAACAGAGAGGGTGTTTCGCAAAAACCAAGCGCCTCAGAGTTCCAGAGGCCCCTAGAGCGTGAAATCCTCAAAATTGAAACCCTGAACGGTTTAGGGGTTCAGGGTTTATGGCTCTAATTCGGGGTTTCGGGTTGAAGGGCTTAGGGATGTCATTGGAGAGGTGATGGCTCGATTTGTTCTAGTATGGAGGGCTTCGGACGCCCGCCCCCAAGTCCGAAAACGCCATCGACATAACACCCTGAGCCCTAAACCCTAAGCCCTAAACCCTAAATTCTGAACCCCAACATCCTTGCGAACCCTAAACTCTAAGCCCTAAACCCCAAACCCTAAGCCCCAAGCCCTAAACCCAACCCTTGCGCCCTACTCTGCCAGATCTTCTTTCTGGGACCGAACATGCCCAGCATGATGCCTTTGCAGCAGGGGGGCTTAGGGGGCTTAGGGGGCTTAGGGGGCTTAGGGTTTATCTGAGAGTAGTTTCATGGGCCCTTAATATGGTCCCTTACCTGGCCCTCAAGTTGTATAGGGTATGCAAGGGAAACAGAAGAGGCGCCCGTTTAAGGGCCCATATTAAGGGACCATGCAACTACCCCTAGAGTTGAGTGGGACTCGGGGTTCACGATGGGGAGTTTTAGAAGGCTTAGGGGGTTTCCGGGTTGGGGCTTTAGGGGTGTGAGTTTAGAGTTCAGCCTGAATGGCAGCGCGCTTTGCAAATCCTGGGCCCTAAGTGCCCAGCCGACCCCTCACTTGGATTTGCGGAGTTTGAATTATTATCACCTAGGGGTCGGGGGTTTAGGGCTTTAGGGCTTGAAGGGTTACGGGTCAACAGAAGTTGAACCCCCTTGCCAGCAAGCCCACACCTAAACCCTCAAGTGTTCAGGGTCCAGGGTTTAGGGTTGAGACCCTAAACCCTAAACCCTGAACCCTAAACCCTTAGCCCTAAACCCTAAGCCCTAAACCCTAAACCCTAAACCCTCAACCCTCAACCCTACACCCTAAACCCCAAACCCCAAACCCTAAACGGGCTTTCGGCCGCATGATTTGTGTTCCAGGTCGAAGGTGTAGCGCTTTGGGGAACTGGACCCCAGACCCTAAAGACCCCAAAAATCCCAAAGACCCCAAAGACCCCAAAGACCCCAAAGACCCCAAAGACCCCAAAGACCCTAAAGACCCCAAAGACCCCAAAGACCCTAAAGACCCCAAAGACCCCAAAGACCCTAAAGACCCTAAAGACCCCAAAGACCCTAAAGGCCCTAAACCATATGGAAACCTTCAAGACCACTAAACCCCCAAAACCCTAAACCCTGAGCCCTGAACCCTAAACCCTAAACCCTAAGCCCTGAACCCCAAAAACCCTAAACCCTAAGCCCTGAACCCTAAACCCCTAAACCCTAACGACCCCAAACCGACTTGAGCTGCATTCCGCTCTTTCAAAGGCCGACCGGGGGACCCAGCTCGGCTCACATCGGTGATCTAAACGAGCAGGCCGCCTGAGGACTCCCGAAGCAGTTGGTCAAAAAGACCCACGAGACCCTAAAGACTCGAAAGACCCTAAAGACCCTAAAGACCTAAAGACCCCAAGGACCCTAAGAACACCCTAAAAGCCTAAAGGCCCTAAGGAGATCCTAAAGATCCTAAAGATCCGAAAGATCCTAAAGATCCGAAAGATCCGAAAGATCCTAAAGATCCTAAAGATCCTAAAGATCCTAAAGATCCTAAAGGCCCTAAACCCTGGGTGTTAGTGGGGCTTAAGCTCTCGGGGACTCCAGGATTTTTACTGTTCGAGGATATGAGCTGTGAGGGTTTTGGGGCATTTTTTCTCGGGGAAGCGGCTGACAGGACTCCTGGGTTTGAGTCCCTTATTGTTGTTGTTTTGTGGGTTTGTGGTTTAGAGTTGTACGGGTCTAGAGGTCGAGAGTTCAGGTCTTTAGGGTTTTCACGGGGTGTGGTTGCTACCAAGAGGAAGCTGAGCCCGTACTTAAACCTAAACCCCAAACTCTAAACCCTAAAACCTAAACCCTAAACCCTAAACCCTAAACCCTAAACCCTAAACCCTAAACCCTAAGCCCTAAGCCCTAAGCCCTAAACCCTAAACCCTAAACCCTAAACCTGCCTGCAGGTCGTCGACAAGGCGGAGAGCTTATTTAGAGAAAGCCTCGTGAAGCACCTGGAGCAGGCTCCGAGATGCTGCACCCCTAAAGCCCTCAGCCCTAAGCTCGAAAGGGTTTTAGGGTTTAGGGTTTAGGGTTTAGGGCTTAGGGCTTAGGGCTTAGGGCTTAGGGTTTAGGAAACACTAAGCCCGAAACCTCAAACCCTAAGGCCTGAAGCCGAAACTCTGAACCAAAAACCCTTTTGCCAGCCCTGAAGCCGAAACCCTACAGTGCCAACCCTCAAACCCAAGTCTCTAAACTCCAAAACGCCTTGTGCCTAGCTGGTTCTGTTGAGCAGATCGGGGGGTTTGAGGGTTGCCCCCAAAACAATAGACTGCTGCGGTTTTCCATGCCTTGTACAGGTTTCCGACCAGTCGAGATAGGTCTGCTGGTTTCCAGTGGTTTGCGTGTTCCCCTTGTCTCCCTTCGTGCTGGAAAACGTTTCTTTCAACACAGATGACCTGGTCTACACTGCTTGGTGCATTTCGGGGCCTTTCAGGTGTGCTCAGGTTCCAGGACTTCGAGGCACATAGCCAAGGCTCAGCAAGGCTCAGGACTTCGGATGTAGGCGAGGCTGGATAAGGACCCTGAACCCGAAGCCCACTGAGGGACCCATTCATGCGCGAACTCCCTAAACCCTCAATCCCACCCCCTAAGCCCTGAAACCCTGAACCCTAAACCCTTAACCCCCAACCCTGAAACCCCAACCCCTAAACCCATCAACCCCTCAACCCTGCAACCCTAAACCCTGAACAAACCTTGCAACCCTGAAACCCTGAACCCTACCCCCCGAAACCTGGAAACCCTCGAAGCCCTATAACCTAACCCCTGAAACCTTGAAACCCTGAAGCCCTAAACCCTAACCCCTGACCTTGAAACCCTGAAACCCTAAAGCCCTAAACCCGGAAACCGAAACCCTGAGACCCTGAAGCCCTAGACCCTAGTGCCTGACACCTCGAAACCCTCAAACCCTGAACCCCAAACCCCGAAAGCCTGAAACCCTCAAACCCTAAACCCCTAACCGCTAACCCCTAAACCCCAAACCCCGAAACCCTGAAACCCTGAAGCCCTACACCCCAGGCCTTCAACGGTGCCCCCAAGAAAGAGCTTGTGGATTTGTTGGTGCAGCGCGCGGTGGCGGCCATGACAGTCCGGCGCCTGGATTTTGGGGTCTTAGGGTCTTGGGGTGTAGGGTTTAGGGTTTTAGGGTCGTAGGGTCTGAGGGTTTAGGGGTTTTACGGTTTCAGGGGTTGAGGGTTTTTGGGTTTCAGGGTTTTTGGGTTTCAGTGCTTTGGGCTTTACGTTTCTTTATTTCATTTATCAAGGTTGAGGGTTCAGGGTTCTTTAGGTTTTAGGCTTTTGGGGTGCCACAAAGCTTAGGGTTTTGAGAAAACCCCCCGTTTCTGGCGAGGTCAACGTTGGCATCGATTTTGCAACAACGATGCACTTGATGCCCACGCCCCGCACTCAGAGAAGGCCCCCAGCTGATCCGCATCCTAAATCCTAGGGCCCCAAGACCCCAGCCCGCCCTAAACCCCAAACCCGGATGCTCCAAACACGAGAATCCTACACCCTAAGCCCTGAGCTCTAAACCCCGAACCCTGGACCCAAAACACTTGAACCCAAAAACCCACACACCAACGTCCCGAAAACTGTAGTCCGCTAAGCCCCAGTACGACTTACCCCCCCCCCCCCCCCCCCAAACACTCCCGCTCATGGAGCGGCAGTTTTATGTCGGCAGCCATTTTCCACTTCCAGCCTTGTCTTGTCAAACGCCCAGGAAGAGGCATGTCCAAGACTTCGGTCAGGTTCGCGTGCCCTGATGTACGAGTTTCATATGTGGAAAACACTCGTTTTACTCAGATCGGCGACCCGCACTGGCTTGTTGTGGAACCTGGTTTGGCGTACTTGGGTACGTGCAAGAACTTGTCCTGCCCTGCAACGATAACGGTTTGCAACATGGAAATGGGCAAGCATCGGCCGAACGAGGACTACTGCTACAGCCAGATCCGGTGCCCGGCCTGCCAGACGCCCTTTCAGCCGGAGTGCTTCTACTTCCAGCACTGCTCAGCCAAGATTAACTTCTGTTTTGAGGGGAGCGTGCCCGATGAACTTCGAGTTTCAGAGGACCGAGACCTCAAGTCCCGTGTTCTTGGCAAGCGCGGCCAGGTTGCTGTCTACAACCTGCTTGTCATCGAGGTCGACCGACCGGGCACTTACGAAGATGATGGCACACTGGATGCCAAGTACACCTTCGCACTTGACAGAATGCTAGCACATGCGCGGAACCTGTCCACGGCGTCGACAACCGGTTCAACTCCGAAACAACAGCCAATCGCACCAACTCCACAGTCGTGGCAAAGGCCAAACATGCTGAATCCACAAGACATCCGCTATGTTCAGGACAGTATCTCCAGCAGGTTTATGTGTGGTCGCAGAGTCGTTGAAACCATGAACCAGTTGCTCACTGGCCTTTCAGTGGATCTCATTCCAACAATCCGCGTCTTCCCGTGGAACGGCCACTGGCACTCAGAAGACAATCGCCGGCTTTGGGCCTTCAAGAAAGCCGGTCTAAAGGCAGTTCCAGTGCGTTATGTGGACAAGTCGTCGGTTGACTCCAGAAAGTTCACTACGCGGGATGGCGGGCTGACCATTCGTATGCGATAAGCACCAGCCCATGTGATCCTTGAGATTCCTTGAGCGCATTCGGTTTCACACCCAGGATGCAGCCCAGCAGCTTGTGTGGAGAAACGGTTCTTACTGCCTACTGCATAGTACTGATATAGCTATTCTCACTCCTCTTCATCGTCTTCCTTCTGCATGATTCTGTTACTTGACTCTTGGAATACGGGGCCAGCTCCCATATGGGGGATGCCAGGGGCTGTTGAGGAGTAGTTGCTTGGCTACCACCACCTCAAATGGACCCCCCCGAGTAGTCACGTGATAGTCATAGGGTCATACTCCGAGGGTTGGGCAACCGAACAGCCCAAGGTGAGCTTAGAAGCCCATGCTTGCCCAGAATCAATACCCCTTTCAGTCATTCCACGCTCCCCCAAGCCCTAAACCCCAAACCCCGAACCCTAAACCCCAAACTCTAAACCCTAAACCTGAAACCCGAAACCCAAACCCTAAACCCTTACTCGCATGGCCCATCTCAGGTTCTTGCAACCGCTTTTTCTGATCGTTGTTCGCGGCGACGGTAGCCCGAACGAGGCGCGGAGGGAAGGTTTCAAGGCTCAGGGCTGTTGAGGGTCTCAGGGTTTCGGGGTCTGAGGTTGAGGGTTTCAGGGTTTCAGGGTTTAGGGTTGAGGGTTTCAGGGTTTGAGGTTGAGGGTTTCAGAGGTTCGAGAGTCCAGGAACGCCTCTTGCAGGGACAGGTTCGGTTTTACCGAGTTCCTTTGGATGTAGAGGAGAGGGGCGCCGGGATCGTTGCTTTCATGCGGTCAGTTCTTCAACTGATTGATGGCTTCCGGGCTTCCGTAGGGGTGTAGGGGCCGTGTGATTATAGCTGTGTTATAGCCGGGACCTGAAGGAGCCCCTGAATTGCGAGGCCTCGTTACCTCGGATGGTTCTGAGGTACATGGGATTTAAGACTTAGACATGGGTTTGCGGTTTGAGATGTAGGGTTTAGGGTTTAGGGTTTAGGGGTTCAAGAAGCGGCGTTAAGCCAGCCCGCATCTTCGTACAGTGTCGCCCCCAACATCGACTCTCCACCCAGAAGAGTCCGGACCGCGTCCCCCCAAACCTGAAATGTTCCCTAAACCCTGTACCCTAAGCCCCTGAACCGTGAATCCTGAGCAACCCTGAAACTTGGGATCTTCCCCCTTATGCTAACAGTCCTCAACCCCTCCTGGCCCCGCACTCCGTACCACCTGGCTCTCAGAAGTGACCTTAGCCCCACCGACGCCTTCCTTCGCCCTTCCTTCCCCCGACCTTGCCATGGCTGACGCCGCCCCGCTCGCACCCGGAGCCCGCAAGGCGGGCGGAGGGTTTAGGGCTTCAAGAGCTTTAAGGGGCTTTAGGGTTTAGGGCTAGGGGTTTAGGGTTTGGGGTTTAGCCCTGAAACCCTGAGCCCTAAAACTCATGGTCTCAACCCTAAGCCCCAACCTGTCCTGAACTCTAAGACCTCCAACCTCCGAAACCCGAAATCGTGGTCTCAACTCAACCCTAAACCGGATGTGGGGTTGCGGGATCTTGGAAGCGAGTTTGTACAAGGATTTGGGGTTTAGGTGTTTGTTGTGTTTGCGGTCTCCTTTGGGCTTCAGGGTTGAGAGCTTCTTTGTCTGGGTTCAACGGTTCTTGATGGCCTAGTAGTAGGGTAGGTAACCTTTAACCTTTTGGGGTAGTACAATCCCCTTATAATCCCAAAGGTTAACCTTTAGTTCCTCCAGGTTACTGGACAACTGAGATGGGCATGTGGTGGACTTCTTGGGGGCTTCCATGCGCAGAGTGTCTCCACACCCTCAAGTGGGCCAATCCGGGTGAACCCTCAACCCTCCACCCTCCACCCTCCACCCTCCACCCTCCACCCTCCACCCTCCACCCTCCACCCTCCACCCTCAACCCTCAACCCTCAACCCTCAACCCTCAACCCTCAATCCTAAACCCTACACCCCAAGACCCTAAGACCCCAAAATCCAGGCGCATGAGCTCAGTCTTCGCAAACCCTAAACCCTAAACCCTAAACCCCAAACCCCAAACCCTCAACCCTAAACCCTAAACCCTAAACCCAAAACCCTAAACCCTAAACCCTAAACCCTAAACCCTAAACCCTAAACCCTAAACCCTAAACCCTAAACCCTAAACCCTAAACCCTAAACCCTAAACCCTAAACCCTAAACCCTAAACCCTAAACCCTAAACCCTAAACCCTAAACCCTAAACCCTAGCGAAGCGCACCTCTGGACTCGTGCTTTGGGGTGTGTGCTGGGGTTAAGTTTCCTTGGGATGCGGTTGAGGGGCTAGGTGTTTAGTGGCTAAGGTAGGGTTTTAGGCTGGTTTAAGACCAAAATCAACATTTAGTTTTCAAATAATCAGTAGATCACAATTGCAAGCGTTTAGGGTTTAGCCTTGGGATGTTCCCCCTTATACTAACAGTCCTAAACCCTAAGCCCCAAGCCCTAAGCCCTAAGCCCTAAGCCCTAAACCCTAAACCCTAAACCCTAAACCCTAAACTCCCAAGTTTGGCCATTTCAAGCGGTTCGTGGGTGTTGGCTTCCGAGCTGGCGAGGTGTTGGCCGATGAGGTGGCCGCACCGTTCCGGGAGGAGATTCGCAAGGCCGAGCTTTTGCATTCTTGGGTTTTAGGGTTTAGGGTTTAGGGGTTTAGGGTTTAGGGTTTAGGGGTTTAGGGGTTTAGGGGTTTAGTGGTCTAGGGGTTTAGGGGTTTAGGGGTTTAGTGGTTAGGGCTAAACCCGACTCCCCGGGTCCCGGATGAAGCCGCGGTTCTGGCGGGAATCTAGGCATGTTGGGGTTTAGGGTCTCAGTCTCACAGGCCTCTGTACGCGCGAGAAAAGCAGAACTTAGCCCCTAGCACGGCCCCTGAGGGGCCTTCAAAAACTCGTGACTGAGACCCCCTTAAGACCTAAGATCCTACATCCCTTAAGGGCCTATGCAAGCAGCTCGACAATTTCGAGCGCCCAACCTGAAACCCCAACCTAGGTAGGCCCTTTGTGGCCATAGTAACCCAAGTCCCCGCGCCTCGGATCATGGCATCCCGCAGGTAGCGGGTTCGCAGAGTTCCGCGATGTTCATTTGCGTTCTTTGTTTAGGGACACAAAGCATCGCCACGTTCGTAGTAGGAATGAAGGGTGGCATTCCTCAATTCAGGGGTCTTGGTCTTGGGCTCTCCGGTTACGTTCCCGAAGGTTCCTGAGATCTCAAGACCCCAGGCCCCAGTCCAGCAAAAGGATTTAGGGTTTAGGGTTTGGGGTTTGGGGCTTGGGGTTTGGGGTTTGGGGTTTAGGGTTTAGGGTTTAGGCCCCGACAGGGTCCCGGTGCGGGTTTTCAGGGCATGAGCTCAGTCTTTGCAAACCCTAAACCCTAAACCCCAAACCCCAAACCCTAAACCCTAAACCCTGAACCCTAAACCCTAAACCCCAAACCCCAAACCCTAAACCCTAAACCCTGAAACCCTAAACCCTAAACCCTAAACCCTAAACCCTAAACCCTGAAACCCTGAAACCCTAAACCCTAAACCCTAAACCCTAAACCCTAAACCCTAAACCCTAAACCCTAAACCCTAAACCCTAAACCCTAAACCCCAAGTACGCCCTGGCAGTCCGTGGCCGAGATGGGCGGAGTCGGGCCCAAGCTGGTCGGACGCTGGGGCAAGCAACAGAACAGTGGGTTTAGGATTTAGGGTTCAGGGTTTAGGGTTTAGGGTTTAGGGTTTAGGGTTTAGGGTATTCAGGGTTTAGGGTTTAGGGTTACGGGTTAAGGGTACTAAGAGCTCTTTAGGACGGTTTTTGAAGGGTTTTCTTTTAACCAAGTGGGTGCAGGACAATAAGGCCTTTTATGAACTGCTTTTTATGAGTGGTTGTTTAAGGGTTTTGACATGGTGATTCAAGGGTTTTCGATGCTCTGCATCCTAAACCCTAAACCCTAAACCCTAAACCCTAAACCCTAAACCCTAAATCCTAAATCCTAAACCCTAAACCCTCAGCCCTAAACCCTCAGCCCTAAACACTAAGCCCTAAACCCTAAGCCTTTAAACTCTAGTTGGGGGAGAACCAAGGATTCTTAGCCAACTCGGACCCTGCGGCGAAGAAGCGCCCTGGCTGCGGTTTTGCGGGCTTTCTGGGCTGTTTTCAGCGTGGGGTTCAGGGTTGGGGGCTGGGGTTTGGGGTTTAGGGTTGGGGGGTAGGGTTTTGGAGTTTAGGGTTTAGGGTTTGGGGTTTAGGGTTTGGGGGTTTCGGGTTTTGGGTGTTTTGGGGTTTAGTGTTTTGAGGGCTTTAGAGTTCAGAGGCTTTGAGACAGGGTTAGGGCTTGAGGGCTTGGGTTCCGGTGGATCTAGGCTCCGGGGTTTGGGGCTCAGTTGCCAGCAGGAGGCTCTTTCCCAAAGACCGGTTAAGGTTTAGGGTCTAGGGTCAAGGGTTTAGGGTTTAGGGTTTAGGGTTTAGGCGTTAGGGTTTAGGGTTTAGGGTCAAGGGTCTAGGGTTTAGGGTTTAGGGTTTAAGTGTTGTTCAAGGCTTCAGGGGGTTTAGGGTTTAGGGCATAGGAGTTAGAGCTGCGACTTTGGACCCGCTAAACCTTGAGTCTCCAAACCCTTACGCACTAAAAATCAAAAAGCCGATTCCATACGCTGAACCCTAAACCCTAAAACCCTAAACCCTAAACCCTAAACCCTAAACCCTAAACCCTAAACCCTAAACCCTAAACCCTAAACCCTAAACCCTAAACCCTAAACCCTAAACCCT